GCCAGAGCCTTTACATTAATCAAGTGACTCTGCCTGTCATTTTTACCTGTGTTGCCTCTTAGCCAGTACAGGATAGGGAATAACCAATGTGACCACGCTAAAGAATGAAAGAAACATATTTCTCTTTTCTTGCCAGTAACAAAACCAGTAACTGCTACATGATTTTATCAGTGATCTCACACAAATGGAAAATTTCAAAATTATTTAAAGGAAAAAACTAAAACTGTCACAGCATTGAGAAGACAGTGACTAGACCATTAGAGAGAGAAAAAAACCTGCTGTTTGTCTTATAGTGGCCTGTGGGCCAATACTGGCCCTTCAGAGGGTCCAGTCTGGCCTATAAAGTCGAAAACCATACTCACCGACCAATCAGCTTACATCACTCTGATGGGCTGATGATGTCAGTTGTTGGCCAATGGGAAGGTTAGGGTTTAATTCTGCACTGACCTGTGTGCCTGTTCCCAGCAGCCAAACTAAGCAAAATCGGCTCATGTGGTAGCTAAATCCTGCTCAGTTTAGCCACATGTGCCACTTCCCTTGCTGGCCAAAGCAGCAGGATCTAACCCCTGCTCATCCTCATTAAATCCTGGTCAGATCCCTACAAACTACTGGCAAGCCAAGTGATCCCACACCTTATATTTGTGCAGCTGGTTTTTCCTGCTTAAGTGCAGAACCTTTTATTTGTCCCTACTGAAATTCATTTTGTAAGTTTGGACCCAGTTCTCCAATCTGTTATGGTCATCTTGATCCTAATTCTGTCTTCTGCAGCATTAGGTACTCCTCCCAACTTGGTGCCATCTGCAAATTTTATGAGCATCCCCTCAATTCCTGAATCCAAGTTGTTTATAAAAATGTTGAACAACAAAGGACCCATGACAGAACCCTGTGGAACCACACTTGTCATTTTTCTCCAGGATGATGAGGAACCACCAGTGAGCACTTTTTGTGTTTGGTCACTCAAGCAGTTACATGATCCAGCCCAAATTTTACCAGCTTCTCTGCAAGAATACTGTCAGACTTTGTCAGAAACCTTACTGAAATCAAGATAGACTATGCCCACAGCATTCACTTTAGCATGCTGCTATGGTATCCACTTGAGCCACAGGTTCTAGCCATTATAGTGCAGCAAATGCAAGAAGGTAATTTGGCTTAAATGAAACAGCTGGTATATAGAATGGTGCATATTTAAGTTATTGTTATTTACCAGTGTCATATTTAAAACAAGTCTAATTCTCCTCTGGCTTGTAAAAAAAGTATTGTATGGGGCATCCCGGATGCAAAAGTATTACAGTGGTACCTCAGGTTACATACGCTTCAGGTTACAGACTCTGCTAACCCAGAAATAGTGCTTCAGGTTAAGAACTTTGCTTCAGGATGAGAACAGAAATCGTGCTCTGGCGGCGCGGCAGCAGCAGGAGGCCCCATTAGCTAAAGTGGTGCTTCAGGTTAAGAACAGTTTCAGGTTAAGAACGGACCTCCGGAACAAATTACGTACTTAACCCGAGGTACCACTGTATAGCCAAGTTATATAAAAGGTACTGTCCTTAACCTGGCATTCAAAGAGTTAATTAACATGTTAAAGTTTAAAAACAGATTTAGATTCAGGAACTAGAGATGACTACAGTTAACTCTTTAAAGAACTAACTATAGGACAAGTCACTCAGTGACAATTCATCTGGTTTGTGCAACCAGCTAAAATTCTATAGGGCAGGGATGTCCAACAGGTTGATGTCCAACAGGGATGTCCAACAGCTATCTACTGGCATATCCCTGGGAGGTTTTTGGCTCCCTTTCCTTAGTGGTGGTAAAATCCGGCCCTGCCCCCTCGGCCCACCCTCCATTGTTGCACCATCTCCAGAATGACAGACTGAGTTATAATAGTGATGTTGATTGTTTCCTTAGCAATCTTATGGTGAGCGACTTTCCCCCTTTCTCCCTAAAATAGCTCAACTTTGCCCTGAACCCCTAAAAAAAAGGCACTTTCCTCCCTAAAAAAAGCTCACTCAACAGCTTCGACCTGAACCCCCAACCTGCCAGTTTATTCTGTGAGTAGATTGCAGTCTCAGGAGTTAACCGTCCCTGCTATAGGGCCATGGCTACAAGCAGAAATCACACCTCAGAGTTTAAAAGAAATCATGTGAAAGCACCAAACCTAATGTAAATTCCATACATGCAAAGTGGTATTCTAAAGAATACAGTACATATGGATTTCAAGAAGAATTTAAAATTCCACTCACCGGAAGCTCCTAAGAAAGGCTAAGGATTGTAAGATGCCTTCTGATCTCTATTGGATGCATTGCATTATAAAAGACAGAAAACAAAGGGTCCAAGCAAGTGGACAACTCATACAAAAGATTCAAAACAGTCCAGGACCTTGTAAGAACCACTAGAGCCAATGCTTTAAAAACATATTCACTGATCCAACAACATGAGCAAACAAGCTGAGGTGTCCAGCTCTCTCAAGTACAAAACATTTGAACACTAAAATCCAAAGCAAAATGAAATACTTCAGCTCCTTTCAAATTAGAAAAAAGTATAAGAAAATAGCAACTGAGCATATAATTCAACTACACATAGACTAACATTTTCTGAACTGTAAATTAGGAGACAGATCTTGAGGCCAGAAACAGGCCACAATGCTGAACACTCTTGTAAATAAGCCCCAACTGGACTTACTTCAGAGTAAACTTTAAAGTATTGTACTGCAAAGTGACAATTCAGGGGGCTATTTTAAAAATTAAGATAAATTATCAGGAAAAAGATCAAACAGCCAGCAATAATGTATCTATGACAGTCTAAATTTAGCAAAATTGTGATGTTTTGTTTATTATCTTCCTTGTGGGATACTGCCGGGCGCTTTTTGAAGGGAGCAATAGCAAATCTGTTTATAGTTCAGTTGCCAAGTAATTTGGATTTCAGGAGCCAAGCCATGTGCAGAAGCAAAATTATTTGACAGCACAATCCTATGAATACCTACTCAGAAGTAAGTCACAGAGTTCAATGGGACTCGCCTAGATAAACATTAGAGACTAGATCTTTGTTTTCCCTCTTTTCCACAAGAAAGCATTTTCTTAGGAATAACTTTTAGCTGGTTCCACTCTTATAAATAAAAGAAATTAGAATGCTACCATATAATACACTTCTACAGCCACCTTATCAAACCCATTTTTCGGTCCTAATGCATTAGTTTGCTACTGCCCAACCCATTCCCCTGCCTTTTTGCCACTTTAAGCTCACCTAACTTTTAAAAGCATGGATCAATATTTTGTAGTAGATTTCAAAAGGGTTTTTTTAAAGTCACAACTTCAAATATCAGTTCAAATTCTCCTACTGTTTAATAGGACTTCGACAGACTATTCCAGCAATGTTTTCTTTGTGTTAAACCAAAAGACTGATTACATAACTATTTCACTGCTGTAGGCTTAGGAATTTGGAAGTAATTCAGAAAAAAATAAATGCTTTGTTCACCATACTCACAGAAATTTAGCAACAATAGAAGCCTATTTCCTTTTTTGGTTTTGCGGATTTCTGAATTAAAAGACTGATGCTTACATTTGCAGCAATGCACCAGGATATTGTCAGGCTCCTCCGTAAAACACTTAAATCTATAATAGCCCCACTGTCACGGAACACACGGAATCTATTCAGAGACGAATACAGAACCACATGTGCACCTGCAATGGCAGGCAGGTGCACTTTGTAGACGGCGAGCCAGCCTAGCTTCTAAATGTGAACAATGTATTCGCAATAATCACCGCGCGTGCGGCTCGACCCTCGAGGACAGTTACAGACCTGTGTTATCTGTCTCCTTTAAAAACAAGAGATTAAAAAAAAAAACCCAAACAAACCAGAGAGGGAGTATATGTCTCTCTGATCCGGGCACGATCTGAAGCATGAACCATGTCCCTTTAAATTAGCTTCCCTTCGGAAGCCAGCAGAGGGAGATGAGGCTGTCTCGCCAGCTCCATCGTGACTCTGTTTTTGTTAAATGGGGGGTATTTAAATATCCTGTTGTCAATCAAAGCGCACTTCCCCTCTGCAGCCGCGGCAGCAGCAGGGGAAGCTCGGGCAAATATTCTCCCAGATCGATGCCCCTTCCTCCGAACTTCAGCCGCCATCCAGCCTCCGGCCAGCTGGGAGATCAAAGGGCGGCCGAAAGAGAGCCACTCGCGCCGCCGCGGCAGCCCCGAAACTTGCTCCTTTGTTTAAATGCCCATGGATACCCACCCAGCCACCCCACCTCCTCCCTTCGCAGCCGAGGGGAGGCTGCAGCTAGTGCCGCGGCGCCGGCGTGGCCTCCTCTTCGGAGCTCGCACTTTCCCAACATAACTGACCCAACCTCCCTGTGCAAAGGGGAAAAGAACGGAGGGGGTAAACACCAACCCGGACACTCACGCGAGCGCAACGTCAGAAAAGCGTCCGCGAGGCGCACGCAACTCTCTGGCCGGGGGAAGCACGAGCCCAGGAAGCGGACGGGACGGCGAGATGAACACGCATAAAAACACGCGCGCGCACACACAAAAAAAGGCACCTCAGCCGCGACGCGCTTCGAACAATGCGAATAATAATAAAAGCAACTCAACTTTCCGGGCACCTCTCGTCCCGCCAAACTCCTCAGAAGAGCCCCTCAAGCTCGGCCAAGGAGCCCCTTATATAACACTGTTTGGAGAAGGGGGTGGGGAGAGAGAGAGAAGGGAACCGAGGAGCGCCGGCGGCTGCCCGACGCCGCTTCCTGGTACGCCGAAAAGCCCCGTTCACACAGCTCTCCCGCAGACACGCATCGCGGCGCGCACACACCGCCTCTCTCTCTCGCCGCCTCATTGTCCTTCTGTTTGTTTCGCCCCCCGGCCGCCCCCTTCCCTCACGGCCCTCAGGGTCTCCCCCCTCTAAATAACGGACCCCCCCTCACACACTTCACTGTTTTGTTGTTGTTTTCCCGTGAGGAGACCCGTGAGGAGACCCGGCCCCCCTCCTCCTCGCTGCCCCCTCGCGTGTTTTACCTGCCATGGAACCAGTCCTTGCATATGTCGCACTCGATCATGAAGCGGCTCACATCGTAAGGCTCCCGGCACACGCAGTACACGGGGGTCGCCGCCGCCGTTGTTGTTGTTGCTGCTGCCGTTGTTGCCGTAGCCGCCGCCGCCCCGGCCATCTTTAAAGAACTCGCTCGCTCGCTCACTCTCTCTCTCGCCCGGCTGGCTGGCTGGCTGGCTGACTTGACTGACTGAGCCGCCCTGCTCTCCTCCTCCTCCTCCTCCTCCCTCGCCTCCTCCTCCCCCCACCCCGCCAGCCCCAACCAACAGCCGCCGCCGCCGCCAGCCCAGCCAGCCAGCAGCCAGCCAGTCAGTCGGCAGCACCAATAACAACAGCGCGCGTGCTAGGCTCCCGTATCTAGAGGGAGAGGGGGAAGGAGCGCGCGTGCGCGTGCGTTACGCTCCCACATTGGGCGCGCGGCCGATACCCCTCCCTCCCTCCCTCCCTCGAGAGCGGACAAACGGCAAGGGCGCGCGGCGGAGAGGGACAGTCACGTAAGGTACATCGCCGAGCATGCGCCCTAAAGAGGAGGAAGTGAAGGGCGGGCGGAGGCGGCAGGAGGGGCGGGGTGTGTGTGTGTGTGAGAGAAGAGCGGAACCGTCGGCAGGAAACAAGGCGGCATGGAACTCTCACGACGCGTCAAGCGCGCGCGCGCGCGCGCTCACAAAAGGGATAAAAGTTCTCCCTCGCCCGGAAGCCCGCCCGCCCCGCCTCCCGGTCTCGCTCTGAATTGACAATGAGAGAGAGAGAGAGAAGCACGTGCCGCCACACATCCTTCTTCTCTTCCCCTCACGCACACATCTCTCTTTCTCCCCCTCCCCTCTTTTTGTAGGCGGGGCTCTAGAACAGCGGGCGGGTGAGATCACAGGCACACATTGGCCCCGCCCCTTTTCACTCTCCCCCGCCCTCCCGGCACCGTCACGTGCTTGGGGAAGGAAGGTGCCGCGAGGACACTGTGGAGGTGGTTTTGTTTTTTTTGTTTCTTCTCCCCCTCCCTCCCGGCTCGAACGCTCGTCGGCCGCGCGTCACACTCGCTCACTCTTATGCAACCGAAGGAGAGCGGCGGAAGTCAGAACCTTACGGAAATGGCCGAAGTTGGCCCGAAGCGCTTGACTTTGTTTCTTCGAGTCAGGGGCGGGGCTGGAGCCGTGACAGCGGCGGCAGCGGCAGCGCCTTAACCTTGAACACCCACACGGGGCTGTGGCAAAGGCCAGGCGGGGAATAATTAAATGTGTGCGGAGTCCCGCTGCGTCCCGGTATGCGTGCGTGTTTATACGCACGTGTGGATGGACGTGCACGTGCATTAATGAGCAGGGAAGGTAGCAGCGTTATAGGCGTGCTGCAGCCATCCTTCCATTAAAAACACCCGCATGTTTTTTTTGCACGCGGTTTTTAAAAAGTTATTTATTAACACTTGCTCTGAATGGCCTCCTACATCTTGCATATCGTTCTCCCACGATGCGCCGGTTAACATATCGGCAGAGTTTTGCAGATGTTTCTGTGGAGGCGAGAGTGATCAGCAGGACAGTTATATTTAATATCTGTCGCGGACTCTGATTTCAGGTTTCCACTGTGGGCACAAATCCAGACACACATCACTTGCAAATGTTCGCCAAGTGACTGTTTGGGGTGGAAGGTTAAATGGGGATCTGCAGAAATGCAAACCTTGCAAATCATTCATGGTACTTTCTGGGATAATGACACTCCAGTATAACTTGCCTATACTTCTGAATAAGAGGCAATTGATAACCTCAGGGGCCACAGAGTTATATGAATAAGGAGGCACAGTTAGGGCTGCAACCCTCAACACACCCAGGGAGCATGTCACCGTAGGTTTCAATTTGCTTTTGAGTCAATATTCTTCTGCACAAACTTCATGAACTGTGACTAACAAGTAAATGTTGTGGGCAGGGCACAAGGTTCCCACAGCCATTGAATGAATGCAATTAAACATGAACATTAATAGTAAAGAAAAGCTTATATGCTTTGCTGCAATTAATGCTGAAAACTTCAGGAAACTGAAAATGCACCAGAGACCTGGTTCAGTCTTGAAATCTGCTTGTTGATAAGAATTACATAAAACGAGTTGGCACTGTTTGTGGTCCAAACAACACTGTCAACACGAGTTTTCTAGAGGCACCCACCTGCATGGTTTAGGTGTGAAGGGTAAGGTTAAAGAGACAGCACCTTTTGGTGTCATGTGACACATTTGATGACCTGCCATCCCTTGCCTGCCACCTTCGCTTGCTAGCCTCAGCAGGGAGAATTGTCGGCCCACCAGGCTACTATCTTCTGCAGGTGAGCCTTCATAGAGTTGGAAGGGACCACGAGGATCATCCAGTCCAACAACGCAGCAATCTTTCACCCAGCATGGGACTCGAACTCACAGTCCTGAGATTAAAAGCCTCATGCTCTACCAATTGAGTCTCATGCCTTTACGAAGTGCATATAGTGCCTTGTTGTTCCTCCATTCTGAAGGAAATCAGCCCTGAGTGCTCACTGGAAGGACAGGTCCTGAAGCTGAGGCTCCAATACTTTGGCCGCCTCATGAGAAGAGAAGACTCCCTGGGAAAGACCCTGATGTTGGGAAAGATGGAGGGCACAAGGAGAAGGGGAAGACAGAGGACAAGATGGTTGGACAGTGTTCTTGAAGCTACTAGCATGAGTTTGACCAAACTGAGGGAGGCAGTGGAAGACAGGAGTGCCTGGCGTGCTCTGGTCCAGGGGGTCACGAAGTTGGACACGACTAAACAACAACAACATAGTGCCTTGACCTGGGGAGTGTAGCCATCACAAACACTGAGCCCTGAATTTCCTAAATGCTTTTTGTTTTTAAAGGTGCAGGTCATGTTCCCATCCCCAACTCAGAATGCAGAATAAGAAGGGGAATCTGGAGTCTCATGGACACCAGTATGTTCAGTCCATGGCTCTGGAGAAAAGAGCCAATGTGATGAGGCCGCAGCTCTGGATGGCAGCGGACCCATTTCCTATGTACATTTGAACTAGCTTCTTATTCGGTGAAATGGTGGCTCTTGCACTCCCAGTATTGTTTGGGCTCAGGGAAGAAAAAGGATGGTGCCTAACAGTGTGCGGCCTGACATTTTAGATGGTGACTGACAGCATGATGCTGCCTCTGAGACCTGTCCTCTCTTTGCAGCGTGACAAGTCCCAGCTGCAAGGAGCTCTCCATCTCATAAGCCAAACCTCGCTATTCAGCGAGGCCAGCTGCAATCTGCTCCATTTTATGGTAATTAAAAATAGCGTTGGGCACCTGGTCGGCTGCCAGTGCAGCTGCTGCAGATACACTAAGTTTGAATGCCTTGATGCCATACATGCACCCTCACCCTTCCCTTCATCTGGAATATGTGACAGAGCAAATGTCTTTGGCTGCCATTTACAAATGGTTCCCTTTTGAGCAATCTCGGGCTCTGGCATGAGTGAACTAGGGATTTGTCCTAAATAAGGGTGCATCTAAAGATGGAGGTTCAGCGCACAGTCCTTAACGTTTCTTTAGTACCAATGTTTACAGACAAGGTTTGCTTTGTTTCTTTATGAAGGTCTGTAAGTCTCTTTTCCCAGTCCCTTTTCAGGGCACACCCCTTACGTTGAGATGAAGTACTCGAGTTTGTTCTAGTCTAGGCCAGGAGCAAATTGCTTGGGGGGGCGTTGCATTTTCACTGCTATAGTTTCCCGCTTTTCTGGATTTCACCTTTTGTGAGGCAGTGTTGTTGTTTTGAAAGAGCCTGGTCCTGTGCACGTTTACTCGGAAAATAATTCCACTAAATTCAGTGGGCCTTACCGCTTGCTGTGTGTACAGTAGTACCTCTGGTTACGTACTTAATTCGCTCTGGAGGTCCATTCTTAACCTGAAATGATTCTTAACCTGAAGCACCACTTTAACTAATGGGGCCTCCCGCTGCCGCCGCGGGGCTGCCGCGCGATTTCTGTTCTCATTCTGAGCAAAGTTCTTAACCCGAGGTACTATTTCTGGGTTAGTGGAGTCTGTAACCTGAAGTGTATCTCACCTGAAGCGTATGTAACCCGAGGTACCACTGTACATAGGATTGGCACCTATGTATGGTCCTTCAGTCTTAGAATTTAGAACAAAACAAATGTGGTCTTCCCCACTGACACACTGTGTTTTCTTCTTCATCTTGCTTCTGACTCTGCTTAGTAGCCCTTGCCTGATCCTTGTGTCCTCAGATGACTGCCTTCATCATTGTCTTGCATGAGTCTTTGAGCAGCCAGATTGAACATAAAAACTAAAACTTTCCCTAATAAGGTAGGTCCACACCAACTTTAGCTTCAGTTATGTAACAGCAAGCGGGACGCGGGTGGCGCTGTGGGTAAAAGCCTCAGCGCCTAGGGCTTGCCGATCGAAAGGTCGGCGGTTCGAATCCCCGCGGCGGGGTGCGCTCCCATTGTTCGGTCCCAGCGCCTGCCAACCTAGCAGTTCGAAAGCACCCCCAGGTGCAAGTAGATAAATAGGGACCGCTTACCAGCGGGAAGGTAAACGGCGTTTCCCTGTGCGGCTCTGGCTCGCCAGATGCAGCGATGTCACGCTGGCCACGTGACCCGGAAGTGTCTCCGGACAGCGCTGGCCCCTGGCCTCTTAAGTGAGATGGGCGCACAACCCTAGAGTCTGTCAAGACTGGCCCGTACGGGCAGGGGTACCTTTACCTTTACCTATGTAACAGCATCGGACATAAACCGGAACCTATTCTTTCTTCTACTATATATTTTGGAAAGTTGTCCCTTGGCTCTGAAATTGGACACTCCTTATGATACTATAACAGGGTAACCAAATTTTACATGGTGGTTCCTCAATTCAAGGAGCTGGTTTTATCTATTTATTAGTTATGGATATATATGTTATGTATTTTGTGTTTTCATTTTGTATTGTTATGTTGTAAACTGCCCCATGATCTTTATATAAAGGGCAGTATATCAACTTAGTAATTTATAAATTTAATTAATAATAATAAAATCGGATATTCCAGTCCTTAAATGCATTGTTTACTCATAGGAAACTCTTCTTGGCAGCAACATATTTTTGCAAGCTGATATAGCTTTGCAGGAAAAATTCAAAATGCAACCCCTAATTATTAGGAGATGGCATCTGCTTCCTCAAATCTTCCCCTTCCAAGACTGCTGCCAGGGTCACACTGGGACATTGGCTCCTTCTCACACTTAAGCGAGAATGTATTCCTG